CCATCCTCCTCCTCATTATCACAACCATCATCCTCATCATCATCAGCATCATCCTCATCATTATCACCATCAGCAGCATGATCATCATCATCATCATCAGCATCATCATCATCATCATCATCCTCATCATCATGTTCATCATCATCGTCATCATGCTCATCGTCGTCGTCATCGTCATCGCCGTCGGCATCAGCATCATCAGCATCAGCAGCAGCATCATTATCAGTATCAGTATCAGTATCAGTATCATCATCATCACTCTGTCCCCCGACTCCTCCTGGAGCGCTGTTTGACAAGGACATCGACGCGGGGTCAGCAGTAGCGACGAGGGCAAAACAGATGCCGATCGCTATGATTGGCACCAACTCATCTCGATGATCTCAAAGATCCCCTCGGATTCCGAAGGCACATCCGTAAGACTGTCACCACACTGGGCTTGTCGGTCTCGGGGATGGGGACAAGGCTTACGGGTTGGGGCGAAAGCGGGGCAGTTCAGCTGCCGCCTTGGCTTCCCTTTCCTGTGGCGCAAACGAGCATGCTTGTACGGTGCGCCCCCCTTGAAGAAGCACGTCAGACTGGAACGTCTGCCGTCCAAACGTAGTGGCCAGAGAGCACCTGCCACCGAACTTCTAGTATGCGATGCGTCAGTGCGTGCGTCGGCCCGATGGGGCAGACACGCACACGGTGGAAGTGTGTCTGTGTGTTGCCATGTGTCCCCCTTTCCACAGCTGCTGGTGCGCAATCGCGGGCTCGCCAAGCCAGAGCGCCGGTCCCCCGCGCCTGGCCGCCCAGCCGGGCCATGAGGGCGGCAACCGCCTCGAGGGCCCCATGACCTATGGGCCCCCCATTCCCGGACCCATGGCGCTGTGGAGGAGGCGTGAGGAGGAAGGCACGAGTCGCCACGACGTGTGCGTTAAGTCTGCCACCACGCGGATCTGGCAACCTTGAACACTCCCGATTTCCAGCAGCGAAGCTCGATCAAGATGGACGAGCTCTGGACCACTGACGGCGTTCAACATTCACCGCCCGCGCTGGGGTCGCCGCCGCGTCGGCACGACACAGCCAGCTTCAAGCGGCTCCGTTAGGCGAGCGAGAAAGCGGCTTTCGGACAAGACCCGCGCAGATTTCCGGGATCGGCACTGGGCGCTCTCGTGGCGGCGCCTCCAGCGCCGCCCCTAGCGCGCTTCGTCGAGCGTCGCCATGAAGGAGAGGAGTCCCGAGGGAAACACATCCCAGACAACGTGGCTTTCCCCGGCAGCAGCTCTTCAGGCTGAGTCTTTTGTTCTGCGGCCGTGGGGCACGCTGAGGGCCCCAGGGGCCCGAACACGGCGAAGAACTTCCAGAACCCCTCTCATCCAGGACCCGCTATCTTCACGTAGAGGGCGCTGTCACAGGATCTTCCGAAGATCATGGTTATCCACCAGTCGGACGAACTGGGCAGAAGCATGAAGTAGGAAGGCGAAGGACGAGAGAAAACAAATCGATCCATGAAAAAGCGAGGCCTCGAATAAATTGGAATCTGCGGATCCAAGAATCGTGTCGTGCTCCTGGAGGCCCCCGTCGCACCAGCTCGCGTCGCGAGGTCTTCTGGCCGGGACGCGTGGCAGAAGAGAGGTCTGGAGCTCCCAGGGTGAGAGGGGGGTGAAAGTTGGGGAAGGGAGGAGGAGGAGGAGGAGGAGGAGGAGGAAGAGGAGGATCAGGAGGAGGAGGAGGAGGACGTCACGATCTGGCAGTCATCGAAAGACAACTGTTTGACAAAAAACAGAAACCGACACTTTGCAGTACATCCGCAAGCTGAAGGACGATTACTCAGCTTGAGCAAAGAATTCGGCAGCATCATCGAAGCAAGACCAGCATAACCACGAGGACAACATCAACAAGCCCAATCGTATGCCAATGTTGAGAAGGAGTTGGTCAGCAACAGACAGCACACACCAAGCCCACAAGCATGACCACAACGCGCACAAGACGTGCAACTCAACTCCTACCCATAGTAGCGACCACAATTGGTACCACTCCAAGACACCACGCCTAACGCCGACACTGACGAAGGCACACAGATGGTAAAGCCACTACTCAAAGCAGCATACGACGACCTCCAAGCCATCGATTGGACAATTGCAGAACTCAGTGCAGCCCAACAAAACATAGGCAAGGAGGCCAGAGCACAACAACTACAAACAACACAAGTAGTGACCATACGACAACTACAAGCAGCGAGCAACCACCTGTCCGACGACTACCACGAGACACGAAAACACACTGAAACACTACAAGCAAAACTACGCAATCAAGCCAGTAAAGCAACGGCACAACGCCAGGCCGAGCACACAACAATACAACACGAGCAAAGGCATCAGTAACTAGACATTTACCCAACAAACCCTCGACTACCACACGCAAATCAAGCAACTACGAGCACTCAGCGACCAATACGCCTCGACAAACCTCGAGCAGAGAGAATAACACAAAGAGCCAGAGGCCATCATTGCAAACGTACAACAAACGTTACGCGAAAAGCAAGCAACACGACAAGACCAACGACTCTCAACCAGCAGCAGCTACGCACAGGACATGATCAAAACATACCAAACTACAAACAAACGCATGTAGTACTCAATTCAACATGTTCGCCAACACTACATATTTCAAACAAACGGGATAACGCAACAACATGGCCCATCCATGGCTATGACCGGACAAAATATACTCTCTCTGGCGCAAGGCCTACCACATGAAGTACGACAATCCAGATGGTACGCACAACAGCACCACAGCCATGAGGAACAGTAATGTAGCACAACGAGTACAAGCACAAACGTCAGTTAACCATGAAGTCACCGCAGCAGAAAAAGGCTGTGCAGACAGCGCAACGACCCCTACAAGCAGAGGGCACCCTACTTGACAGATCCAACGACCAACACACCTCATGGCAAGCGCGAGAGAGCAACTCGAAAGGGCCAAGAAGCACCACCAACAACGACTTCCCAAGGCAGGACAATATCAGCAAGGCGCGGAATCAGACGCACATCACCAACAAACGACGATACACAGATACATGACAGCACAGGAGCAGCCTGAAAAAGGGCACAGGGACAGAGGCAGAGCCAACGACACTACTACAACAAGCTCCATACGACTACGAAACAAAGCAACGCGACCTCCATCCAGGACAATATCAACAGGTGCCAGACCTCGACCACGGTACCGAGGAAACGATACGCATCCACAACCACATCGAGAACGACAGACGCACAGAAAAAGAAACAAATACGCTACTACAACGTCGGCAAACACATCAAGAACAAGTGGCAGAAGAAGTCAATCGCTTACACGACAAACTTGAATGCATCATAGACGACGACCTCGGCGACACCCACGACAAGAGGGACGACATGAAGGACGACATTACAACGACGCACACCAGCACGCGTATACCGATACAGCCCTTCACCGACGCGCTAACCCCACCACATCAATTAGCATCACCACTAAAAGTTGACTCATCACCCGAGCCACCAATTACACCGACGGCCCGTCGGTGTAATTGGTGGCTCGGGTGCCCCGTCGGTCCGACGGGGCACGATTCACCCAAAACACCCCAACAAGCACACTACAACCACAAACACCAGAACGCAAAGGAGCAACGACTACACTCTCTCTGCCTATGGGCGACATTCCGGAATACGTCACGATACCAACAAAACAAAAGAGACAGCGGATGGAAGCGGAACCCGTCCCTACTCCACGCGCCTTCGTCCATGCTTGCGTATCCTCGATTAGGATGCGCCGTGGCCATCGCCATTCGGGTCGCCCCGCCGTCGGGGTCGCCCTGGCCAGCGCCTGCTGCGGCCAGCTCGGGGCGATCGCCGCTGTCGCCGTCGCCGTCGCCGCCACCGCCATCGCTCGCCGTCGCGATCGCCACTGGCGCGGCGCCAGGCCCGCCCGCGAGCCCCCCTGGCGAGGGCCGCGCTCGGCCGCCGGGCCGCTCACGGGTCGCCAGTCGCCGCCGCCACCGCCAGCGGCCTCCCGAGGACGACGAGGGAGGACGAGACGAGCCATCGTGAAACTAGGAGGAAGCGCCGAACAAGGGACGAAAGGGCTCTTTCTGGTCATGGCGAGCCTCGGCCGCGAAGAGGTTCCCCGGCCCACGGGGCGGGGGCAGCGACCTCTGGGGAGGGAGGGGGGGGGGCTCATGCGGGTGTGGGGGGGGGCATCGACCTGGAATCGGCGATACATCGCCGACAGATCGGCGACGGGCTCCAAGCAGGAGAGCTGCCCGCTCCCTGGCGGGGCTCGGGGGCCCAGGCCCCGATTGGCGACGAAAATCGGCGATCGGGGGTCGACGCTTCCTTCCCGCGTGGGCCAGTTCCCCCCTGCCGCTGCCCAAGACCAGCAGGGTCGGTCTTCTACCCACTGACCAGGGTCAATGCAAGCCTGGGCCAGTCAGGAGCTACAAAATCCTGCAAGAGTTGGCAGGATCCTGCAGGATCCTGCTGGCTAACCTGGGCCAATACTTTGGACGCCCGAAATGGGTACGGAAAAGATGGGTACAATGCCCAACAACAAGTGTTGCCCCAAACCAACAGCGGCCGCTGTTGGGCAGGTGGCCTTCTGTCTCAAATGGAGACAGGCCGCGGCAGCGCGGACAGCGAGTCCTGTCCAGAATGAACAGGGTCTGCTGTTGGGCATTGTGCCCATTCTTTCCGTACCCCCCATTTCGCTCATGCCGAAGTACAGCCGAAACTCTGCAAGATTCCTGCAAGAACCGGCGCTCTGGCCGACCCCCGTCTGCACGGATCCCCCGTCTCTCACGGCTCGAGAGGACTCCGCCGGGGGCGACGAAGAAGAGCGAATAGCCCGGGGGGGGCATTACACGCTTTCGCCCGGGAGCCTCGCCGAAGACAGGGATCCTCGGTGCCCCTGGATACATGTATTGCTCCCCCCTGGGCTATTCGCCCCCGTCGTCGCCTCCGACCCCTCCCTGGCCAGGAGCGGTCCGCGAGCTTGAGCTTCTTGCCCGCCTTCAGCTCCTTGGCCTGGCGGCGCGCGCCACTCCGCCGGTCGGGGGGCGGCCACCGAGAGGGGGGCTGAGCCGCCTGGGTGGGAGCAGGGGTTTGGGGGGGGGGGGGGGCAGGGAGACGAATAAGAAACCCACAAAAGACATACGCGCCATCCGCGAGACAGGCCGCGTTATACTAACATTTGCGCGATGCGTACTCTCGAAACCAGCGTGGATTCATGTATGTCCTTCTTTCGCTCCTGAAGGAAGGCTGGTTGGCCCCCTGCCTGGCCCTCCCTCTCACTCACCAAGTCGTTTCCAGTGGAGCGCATCCGACAAGACGGCGCCCCCAGCCGAGGCACGGCTGCACGCGGGCGGGTCGCGGCTCGCTCTCCTCGCGAGCCCGTGCTGCAGGCGGGGGGAGGAGCAGGAGGAGGAGGAGGAGGAGGAGGAGGAGGAGGAGGAGGAGGAGGAGGAGGAGGAGGAGGAGGAGGGGGGAGGAGGAAAGAGGGAGAGGGAGAGGGAGAGGACCGTCGCGAACCCAGGAGGCATCGGCGACGCTGTCAGACAACCTTCCTCCCAACACACACACACACACCATGATCCCATACAACCATTCGCCCGCGCTACAGGGAGCGCCCACTGGAAGTTTGACCCGATGCAACAGCTGCACGGATGGAGGGCGGTCCTCGCTCGACACGGGGCGCTCGCCGAACACCTCGTCACACCTAAGGACCAGGCGCGCACTCTCGTGAGACGGCTGCACGGATTGGGGACGCCTCCCGCTTCGCAGCGGGGATATAGCTGGACGCCTCGTGAACCCTTCCGATCCGACCGTTCCGCAGCAGCGGGGTGCACGACACCTCCTCTCACGGCTTCCGCCTGGGACGGCAGGCCCATCGGGCGGTCGTCTTTCAGGCGGGCGCTTCCTGTGGTGAAGAAGGAGGCCTGCGGGGACTCGTGAAGGAGAGGTCTTGGGACGGGAAGATGTATTGCAACATCGCTGGCGCATCGTACATTTGCATTGGTCCTCTCTCTTTGCACGCCGGCAGTGGGTACGGAAAAACGGGTACAATGCCCAACAGCAAAGCGTTGTACAAAACCAACAGCGGTGGCTGTTGAACAGGCGGCCGTCTGTCTAAACTGGACCACGTCCGCAACGACACCAGCAGCGAGTCCTCTTCGAAATGGAAGAAAGGGAGCTGCTGTCGGTCTTTGGGCGCATGCTTTCCGTACCCATGTCGATCGTCCCAGTACTACTCGCCGGAGGAAGAGAGAAGGAGCTCGGAAGCGGCTGCGAAGGTACCACCTCATTCCAACATGCACGAAACAAATCCCCAAGCGAATTAGGGGTCAGGGTCTTCGGGGGGCGGGACAACCTGCCGTCGGCGCTCCTGCGCTCGATCCCCGAGAGACTCAGCCTCGGCTCGAGTGCTGAATCCGAAGAGTGCAAGGCCACGCTGAAGGTCGACCCCACTGCCCGCCCAGACGCTGCCACCCCACCCCCTCCCGACGGAGCAGCCAGGGAACTCCTGGACCGAGGCGGCACGAGGGAGGGGAGGTCGCCCAGACCCATCTTTGTCGCACGAAATCACGGCCTGCGTCCGATAACACGGACGCCTGGGCAACCCGAAGAGTTGTCTTCGAAGGATGGCGGCCTTGCGAAAGTCAAGCCAACGGTCGTTCCCGCCCCGACGAGCGGAAGCGCAAGCAGTCTCACGCGAGAGCTGTTTTGCCACCGCGGCCGCCAAGAACACACGTCGAGCCGCACGAGGTGCAGAAGACCCGAGGGAGCCTTGGGCCCTGCCCTCGAGGTCCGTGGCCCCCGCCTCGGTGATGGCATGTCCCCGGTCCTGGCCAGACGTGGAGGTCGGGCCACTCGGCCCTGCCCTCATCGCACGCACCCTCATCACCCACCAGGCTCTCCCGAGCCGTCCCGCCGCCCACGGGAGGAGGGGGGGGGGAGGAGAAGGGGAACACCGAATTCTCAGGAAGAGAAGGGACTGCGAAGGAGATGTGCCTCAGCCAAGCGATGCCGACATGATCGAAGTGCTAGCTATCCCCGAGCCTCTTGCTCGGCCGAGAATTTGCACAACAAGCGAGCCAGCTCGAAGCAACCTGCGACGACGGCACGATCGGCATCGGGTACTCTGCCCAAAGAGGGACCTCGCTTCGCATAATCATCGGCAGACTTATTGCCAAGAAACTCAAGACGACCGAGCTTGCCATTCTCAACGTCTAGAAGTGTGCAGTGGGCGGGCACTTTGTGCCACCGCACGCCGTCGAGCCTATCGTACACATGCTGCCACAAATGAAACCGAGCGTTTTCAAGGTCGACCGCACCCCCAGGGTCCGAAACATACCCGAGAGTCCCAAAGCAGTCGTCCCCATGCATATTGGCCGCAGGGAAAACCGTGGCATGACGCACAAAAGTCGGGCGTTGGCAGAACTGGATGTATTGGGACCTGGTTAAATGATTTGTACTGGGGGAGCCCCCCCCGCCCCGTTCCACTAACCGGAACTGCCGTGATCCGAAAAATACCAGCGACGGCAGACCTGGTTTAGTGATTCTGGTCAATTTAGGGGCTCCAGGGCCCTCCTACTAACCGGGCCCCCTTACATGGGGTTCTGGCTATACCCAAAAGAGAAACCGCAGCGTAGTCTTTGCCGTCAGGGGCATCCTGGGCAGGAACATCACAGAGGGGCACACGTCCCCAGATCGCACGATCAACATTCCCCCACCCATCCGACACAATCACCGCCCATCCCGCCGATCGAATCCAAGGAAGAGCTGGCTCGTACCACAAGCCCCCCCCCCAGCACCAATCCTTCGGCAAGCCAACTGTGCCGAAAAACCGGACAAGGAGGAGGAGGAGGAGGAAAGAGGAGGAGAGGGAGGAGGACACATGACTCGGCTTGGAAGAACGAGACGAGGGCAAGCGGGCAAGAGGGCGAGAAGAGGGCAAGAAAGTCCGTCCACTACTCGTCCATCCCAGCGCCTCGAAGACCTCGAACTAACGAACGAGCCACAGAGCATCTGATTGCGTTTGCCCTCAGACTGGCAGAAAGTGAGAGGCGGGCAGACCTGGGACCGATTGCCCCAGAAGTTCTCTGGGCGTTAAAAGCGGCATGCACGGCATCAATAGCGAGACAGACACTGAGCAGGCTGTCAGATTCGATGAGAGGGGGGAGCGCAAGGACAAAAGAGGGAATAGGATCCAATCCCCAGCACGGGGGAAGGCTTGGAAGGCACTCGCGGGCACGGGGGATCAGATTCGGACACACAAAATAATGGAGGATATCGTCCCCTCCAACGGCGTAGCAACCAAATCTACATCCAGCACGGCCAGCACGGAATCGACGTGAAGTGGCCCAAGCATTGCACAGCGTTTTTAACACTGAGCTAGCAACACAGGAACCGAGTTTCTGACCGATTCTACAAAGCCTAGTCATCGTTTCATCACATTGCTGCGGGGAGAGGGGGCACCAGTAGTTCAGACGTGCACCAAAAGAGCGAACAGAGGGGAGGGGGTAGAAGAGACGGGTCAGGGATCGCACAATTTTCCTCTGGAGGCCATTGGTGAGCTCCGTGGGGGTCTCGGGAATGACGATTAGGGCCTCGAAGTTGGTACGTAATTGTATGAAAGAAGAGCTCCGGTATGTGGGGTATCTCATATAGAATAATCCACACTCATCATGTCGAGTAAACTCTTCCAGATATACACGACCTCGGGCAAATTCATCAGAACGCAGAGCAGCGCGGAACAGAGCGGCACGAGCAGAGGGCTCTACTGCACGAGCTTCACAGGTTATGCCAAAGCGCTTCAGGTCACAAAGAATCGCACTAGAAAACGAGAATCTCGGTGCTACTGGGAGTTGCTGGAGAGCCTCACGCTCAGCAACTCGAACATGATCAGTAATCGAATAAAACTGGGCGACGTGTTGAAGAACGGGCTGACAGTAGACGTTATACATGTGAATATTTCCTGCAAGGCCTAAACAGAGGCTTTAAACATATCTGGCACGACGGAGGAGGGCCCGACACGGGCCTTGCCAACTCAAAGCGGCACCCTCAAGACCCAGGAAGACCCCAAGGTAAAGCCCAGAACGACCGATTTTGGAGGCTCTAAGGCGGATTCGTTTTTTCCCTGCAGTCCTTGCGGAAGGCGGCTTCCGCACGGTCGTGCGGCAATACAAACTGGCACTTCGAGGGGTGAAGGAACAGGCCCGTGCACTTGGCGAGCAGCACGAACTCGTGTACCATGACAGAGTGCGCAGCACCAAGATCAAATGCAACAATGCCGAGATCGTCAGCATAGGCGCAAGGATGAGCGCGGACAATCTCAAGACTACGCCGTATCTTCCTGAACCAGGGATCAAGACCGAGAGCAAACAGGAGACCAGAGAGAGGACACCCTTGTTTAATGCCACGCTCAACCTTGAACTTGCCATAAATGCGCCCCTTAAAGCGTGCGTGCATGTACGTGTTATCGCACAGGTTTTTCACGATACTGCAATGCCAATCAGGGATGCCCATTTCATTCAGGACATATAGAATCCAATCATGTGAGATACTGGGGAAAGCTTGCTTGATATCCTAAAAAAGCCATACCAGGGGAGGGGGCGTTTTCATAAGCAGCATATTGGGTGTATCTCCAATCCAGAGCTAGTACATTATCCACCAGAGAACGCCCTCCAACGAAACCACGTTGTTCACTATCGACAGTACGGCGGGCAACAATATTCAGCGGCTGTGCGAGTGCACTGCAAATGAGCTTACAATCCGCGTTCCCTAAGGCAAGTGGTCGAGTATGCTCAGGCGCGCGAGACGGCTCTGCCTCCAGCGCTCCCTTGGGAAGAAAGGCCAGGCAAGCATCATTAAATTATTCGGGAATCTGCCCCGTGTCAATGATGCGACGATAATGCGCATTCAGAATACCCCTCGCCTTCGGCCCACCAAACCTCCTACCAGAGTACGGAATGCCATCCAATCCTGGGGCAGAATCCCGAGTCCTATCTAAAATCTTATCAAAAAGATCTTCGTCGACTGTCCACATAACGTCCTGAGGAGCCGCTTGGATCCAAGTACGCAGAGAACGCATACTGTCCTGGCAGGGGCGAAAAGGTTGGGCAACTTTCGCCCAGTGGTCCTGCAGCAGGTTAGCACAAACTTGGGGGTCGGTGTGGGCGTTACCGGTTGGGTCCAAAATTCCCCGCAACAGCACTTGCTTGTGACGGGGGGCCCACGCACGAGACAGACGTTCAATTTTTGCAAGACCCGAGGTCCTAGCCTGTTGGGGAAGCTCCTTATCATGTAAAAACTCCTGCCGATCGCATTCAAGTTCGAGACGACTCATCTCTGCCAAGTATGCGTAAAACGCATCAGGGTTCACTAGATTCGCATCAACGTCAACGAAATCCATCAGCTTGGGAAAGCGGCGAACAGCTAAACGTTGTTTATCCACATCATTCCGACGACGAGCACGATCATACATCATACACCACGATATTTTATGACCGATTGTTTTCGAGCTAGCCGAGCACGATTCATTCTTAATGTCCGACGCCGCTAAATGCATTATCGATTTAACCTCAGAAACTGCAATAGCTGGATCCTCAGAGACTCCCATCTCATCGATCAGCTTTTCTACCTTCCAAGTGAATCCAGGCTGACGGCATGCCCACTTGGGAATGACTGCGCAAGAGTTGGGAGACTGCACAGCGAGGATAGCATAGACAGGACCATGATCACTAACATCGCGAAGCTCAGCGGGCTGCCATTCGACGCCAGCAGCCGGGGAGAGGTCCAAGATGATGGAGGATGGGAGAGATGTGTATATTCTGTCAATAGGAGCAGTGCTGACAAGTTTTCCATTACGTTGTACGCAATGTGCATGGTTCCCCTGTCCAAACTCAGTGAAGCGAGAGAAAAGATAGCCAAAGTCCGTGGCAAGCGAGCAGCGTGGCGTACGATCCAGAGCTGGATCGACATGTTGACGGGCCTCGCCCATCGCACAAAAGTTCCAATCACCGCCTATGAATACTGTCATATGTCGAGGGTCGAGAGAGCGCGAAACACACGATAGGAATTCTTTCTTACCAGTCATCGAGTCGTTAGGAGGAAGGTGAAGAGAACAGAGCTGAAGAGCACCTCGAGGCCCATGGAGATCAACTGTTAGACATCTGCCACTAACAACATTCATCGGAATAACCTGGTCGAACTGCATATGAAGACGCTCGTGGACGCAGATAAGGACGCCCCCAGAGATCACATCAACGCAGAAGGAACCAAAGCACTTGTGGTGAGGGAGGGGGCGAGAGAGAGTATCTAAGTCCCCAAGGTGTCCGTGAGATTCTTGAATTAGCAGAACATCGAATTTCTCTGCAAGCCTCAAAAATGTGTTAAAGGTCTGGTTTTGGTGCCTGTGGCCCCCACTCTCGGCACCGAAAAGAGTCGCTGAATTCCAAGACCCAATGCTGAAACGACTGCTAGGAACCCAGGAGACAGGAGGAGGCGGAGGGAAGACACTCGGCGGCGAGTGCGAGGGGGAACAGAAAAAGAGCGGCAATCCTCATTCACTTCATGAACCTGTCAGAGCAGGTTGAGCATGTCAATGATCGGCTTCACTAAGTCAGCCGTGATGCCCCAGTCCTCACAGTCGTCCTGGACCCACTCCGCATGGCCGTCCGAGTCCACACGTATGAGGTCCCACACGTCCTTGTCCGTCGTCACCGTGATCGCATTCGAGAATCCAGAGCATCCCAGCTTGCACCGAGGGGTCCAGTCACGATGTGCACGGAGTAGCTTCATCAGTGGCATCCATGCCTGTCCTAGATGTCGTTGTCGCATCCGTACTTCGTGAGGGAGGTCGCCACGACAGCGGAGCTGCGTCACTGTACCACAGCGTGGGTCCTTCCAGGTTACACAGTTCATGCCGAACCACGTTGAGAAGTCACGAGCCTGTTCTTCTGTCGACCAAATCACACTGAAACTCTAGACGATCGTTGGAAGTGTGGCGATGCATCAGCAGCAGGCAGCGACGGTGGTAGCTGGACTAAGATATCACTCCATACTTGTTTGCGTGTCACATCCAGCACCTTTCTCGGGAACGTCCCGATCCACCTGCGGCATATATTATGAGAGTCCGTCGGTCCACCGCTCGTCTCCATAGCTATAGTTGAGGCCTGCGAGCTTTCTCCACGACGTCTTTTGGCACCTGTCGACCAGCTGCGGGCAGAGCTCGCAGACGATGCAGGCCTTGAAGAATATTGTGTCTGTAATGCCTTTACAGCCTCCATACACTCGGCGCACTTCGCATCCACTTTTTTTGTCCAGCACCGACACAGAGTCCTCGAGCGCCGCGACCTGTGGCTGTAGGCTTTGCAGCGCCTGCACTGAGGCCTCCGTCGCAGTAACCTTCTCGAACAGCTCACGATGTTGTGCCGTCTGACTTTCGTTCATCTTGCGGAGGAGCTCGGTGATCCCCGCCATGTCCGCCATGGCAGCACAAGAACAGACCTTCTGGGAAGGTGATTGCAATACTCAGCAAAATGCTTGAGTGTGAGTGGAAGAAATTCACAATGCTGCAGTCCCTGTCCAGGGGCGTTCTCCAGGACTGCGATCGCGCGCGGCCGCCTCTGCCCTCGAGGCGGGGGTTGCCCGATATTGCCACTTGAGCCAAAATGGCTTGAGCCAAAATGGCTACGGAGGAGGAGAGGGAGGAGGACGACAACGACGACGAAGACGTCGACGAGGAGGGCGAAATGAGAGCGCACAAAGGAACGCCAGAGCGCAGCGGCCTCGGGCTCCGTTGTCATCTGAATCGAGACGGTGCTCGTGGACGGGTCCTCGCGCACGGGCGCCCCGCTGCCCCACGCGAAGGAAACGGGCCACGAAGGAAGCGGGTGCTGGAAGATTCTCGCCGCTGGGCCTCCGGCCAGACTCGACTCCTGGAGGGAGGGCTGGTCCTTGCTGGGGGAGGCCCTGGGGTCTAGGATCCAGCTCCTTCGGGACCCCCTTTCCTTCGTGACGAGCTGCACTCGGCTACACGACACGAGCCGGCAGAGCCTTGATGTCTGGGCGGTCAAATATTTTCGCACTGGGCGGTCTCGGCCAGTTTCGGACCTCGAGGCCCTCACAGATCGATCTGGATCGAGAAACGCCGCGGAGGTATGGTCTTGGGAGCGCGGCTTCGCAATCAGAGGCCTCCCTATGGGGTCAGAATATGGTGGGATCGGCGATGCATCGGCGATGCATCGGCGACGTGGAGAAAATCAGGCTCCAATCGAGCCCCAGCGGCGACGCGTCGGCGACGCGGCGATTCTCCAACCCATCTGATGCGACCCCAATTGGGAGGCCTGGAGACTCGAGCCGGCAGAGCCTTGAGATCGGGGAGTTGCAATCGTTTCACACTGGGCGCTCTCGCCTAGCTTCGGGTCCCAAGGCGCTCACAGATCGATCTGGCTCGAGAAATACCTCGGACAGACGTTATTTTGGGCCGCGGAAAGACGTGGTCTGCGGCTCGGGTCGTGAATTTCCACGATGATGCAGTTGTTTCCGCGACGTCGGATCTCAGGTGGGTCACCTTGACAAAAACAGGAATCGGTGCCTCTGCATCTGCCAACGAGCCGCAGGTACCGAATGGAGTGGCATTATGTCTCCTCAAGCTCTCTGCACCGAGGGTTGCGTATGGTCCTGACATCGGATTTCTTCAAGTCTTGGGCGGTCCTATGCGTTCCTGGGCTATCCCGAGCGTTTCCGCTCGTGGGCCGTGTAGTTCCCGACGCCTCGGGGGCGTAGTTCGGAATCCAGACTTCCGACATGCTCACGGTACCATGGCGCAGCTGCTCCATCTGCAAAGGAGTCAGGATGAGCATGATTCACGCCCGCACGACCAAGCGCTAGAAGGCCAAGCTCGGGTGCTCGGCCTGATGTGCCGTTGTGGAGGCCTCGCGGCGGGGCGTGTGCGCTAAACCGTCAGTCCCACCAACCCTCTGGGCGTGAGTGGTTCCGAGAGTTCCCGCTTCGTCCACCACCCCTTTTTCCCCTTCGGGGAGGGGCTTACCCCTCCCACTACTCCCTTGCGCTGGACCTGGACGGGGCTCCCAGCGAGGTGTCAGAAGGTCTTTTTCGCCCTCGGCGAAAAGATATTGGCCCAATTTGGGTCTGCTGGGGGGGGACCGTAATTGAGTACTCTTCTTGGATCGATCACCTCCATGATGACCCAAACATGGCCCCCGAGGCACCCAAGAGTGCCCCAAGAGGACGCCAAGAGGCGCTCAGCAGGAGGCCCAAAGAGGCCCCCAAGAGGCCCCAAACATGTCCTCAAGAGGCTCACAAGAGACCCCCAAGAGGACCCAAAACGCTCCCCAGAGGCACCCAAGACGACCCAAGAGACCCCCAGGACCGCCAAGAAGCCCCCTTGAGACGCCCCAACAGACCTGCCAGAAACACTCAGTAGTTATCCGGAAAGACTCTGAAAAGCCTCCAGGAGGCCTCTGACCTTTCTGTTCGCCCGCCTCCTCCTCGTCCACTTCCTCTTCCGCCTGATCCTCTCCCCCCTTCCACACTTCTCCCTCCTCTCCTCCTCCTGCTCTCCTTCTCCTCCTCCTCCTCCTCCTCCTCCTCCTCTTCTTCCTCTTCTTCATCGTATTCCTATTATTGTTATTCTTGAAAGTATGATGAATATTAGTAGTATTATTATGTATCTCCGATTTGGGATAAACAGATTAACATTATTATTCGTCTTATTATGACTAGTGTTGGTATTATCATTGTTACTATCCTATTCGTACTGGTATTAGTATTCGTGTTCTTCTGATTTGATATGATTCGTCTTCTTGTTCGTCTTCGTCTTCTGCGTCTGCTTATGAGTATGAGGATTGTTTTATGTTCGTCTTCTCTTCATAATATCATTATTAGTAATATTTTGGCTGCTATGGTAAGTACTATTGTTCTTGGTCGTCGTCGTCCTCGTCCGCCTCCTCCTCCTCGTCCTCCTCCTCGTCCTCCTCTTCGTCCTTCTCCTCGTCCTTTTCCTCGTCCTCCTCCTCGTGTTCCTCCTCGTTCTCTTCCTCGTCCTCCTCCTCATCCTCCGCCTCCTCCTCCTCCTCCTCCTCCTCCTCCTCCTCTACCTCCTCCTCCTCGTCCTCCTCCTCGTCCTCCTCCTCGTCCTCCTCCTCCTCCTCGTCCTCCTTCTCGTCCTCCTCCTCGTCCTCCTCCTCGTCCTCCTCCTCGTCGTCCACCTTCTCCTCGTTTTTTTCCTTCTCCTCCTCGTCCTCCTCGTCTTCGTCCTTCTCCCCCTCCTCCTCCGCCTCCTCCGCCTCCTCCGCCTACTCCTCTTTCTCCCCTTCGTATTCTTATCATTATTCCGCCTCCTCCTCGTCCTCCTCCCCCGCCTCTTCTTCCTTTTCCTCCCCTCCTCCTCATCATCCGCCTCCTCCTCCTCTTCCCTCCTCCGCTTCCTCTTCCTCCCCCTCCTTCTCCTTCTCCTCCTCCTCCTCCTCCTCCTCCTCCTTCTCCTCCTCCTTATTCTTCTTAGTAGTCTTATTATGAGTGTTACTATTTTTCGTCGTCGTCCTCGTCCTCCTCGTCCTCCTCTTCGTCCTTCTCCTCGTCATCCTCCTCCTCTTCGTCCTCCTCCTCGTCCTCCTCGTCGTCCTCCTCGTCCTCGTCCTCCTCCTCGTCTTCCTCCTCGTCCTCCCGATCGTCCTCCTCCTCGTCGTTCTCCTCGTCCTCCTCCTCGTCCTCCTGATCGACCTCCTCCTCGTGATCCTCCTCCTCGTCTTCCTCCTCGTCCTCATCTTCCTCATCCTCGCCGCCTCCTGTGGCAGCAGCAGGATAAGCGGATGCATTTTGGCCTTGAGCCAGAAAGCGGCAACCACAGTACATCCTTCCCTGAAACACGTACGGACAATCCTGGCCTCCCGTGAGCTGGAATGTTGGACTTCACGGGAAAGAACATTCTGCTAAACCTATATCGATAAAACAGGAGAGTCTCCACATGGATGAGACTTTCTCCTAGGTTTAGCACCCCCAAACAGGATACAGCAACTGTACATGCAAATCAGTGATCAGGGAGAGAGCAGTGAGGGAGGAGAGAGGAGAGAGAGCCCGGGTCTCTTGACTCCGACACCGCTGGGCTGGACTGGAAATCGGCCCACGATATGAGCCTGGAGTCTTGATCCAACATCCTCCGGGATGCCGCCTGAGATCGGTCCTTACTCCCTGGTTGGCTCCTCCTGCGGGATATCTCGCCAGCCTCGTCTATCAAAACTAGCTTGCCTGTGGCAAGTAAATTGGATAATGCCCTTGCTGATGTCGTCCTTCGTGAGACAATCCACGGGCATGCGGCCGTGCGGGATCCATCGAATAAAACCTCGAGCCCCCTCCAGGGCCTGACACACGGCGGCTAGGTCAAGCGCCGTGCGACGGTCACGGGCACTAGCGTCCCCTTCCTTCAGCATCGTATCGTAGATACTCTTCGCATCCACCACGTGAACCTGATCCTCCCGTCCGCCTAGTCGGCAGCCCCTACGGGGGACCGTTGCGAACGGACCCGAACACCTGGACATGTCTGACACATCCACATCTCCGAAAACCACGTCTCTATACAAAACCTGGAGAAACTCTACTTCCGCCACTGCCGCCGAGAGAGCCTGGGTCTCGCCGGCCAGAGTAGACGTGACTTTTCTTCTGAGCTTGGAGCTTCGCCATCCCAGGGTGGACGCGCGAACAGAACAGTTATCTATCACGCTCTTATCGGTCGCTAAGACCATCCACGCCCCCTGCGTCGGATCGGCGGGGGGCCCCCGGTGGTCCAGAAGTCCTTCGCTGGCTCCTACACCCCCCGCATCCGAGAAAGATACGAACGCCATCCGTCCCGGGTCCAAACGCCAAATGATGAGGCCTCTCGAGGCCGTGGCACGGAGATGCCTCACCATCTTGTTCGCGATGGCAACGTCCCCCGCGGTGGCGTCCTCCATACTGGCAAGGATGCTCGCGGTGCCGGCAGCCTCGGGACGAGATTCACGACCGACCCAGTTCAATTTGTAAATCAGGGACCGGAGGGCTTTGAACTCGGGTTGGGTAAGGGGAGAGGACTTTTGACCCAGCCGACCGCGTTCGAGGCTAATCGTCCTCACCTCCTCAAGTATATACTTTTCCTGGTCGATCGTCGTCTTCTGGGGGCCGAAACTCACGCTGCGGCCAGCGTGCTCGACAGGGCCGCGGCGACAGTCCCGGTACTTCCCAAACTTGAACCTAGAGACCAGGGTCTCCCGGATCCAGGCTCGGGATGTCTCTGAATTGCTGGCGATAAAGAAGTCGTCGACTTCAAGTGGGATCATGTTGAGAATGATTCCGTCTGAAGCGTACCTGACCCACCAACAGGGCTCTAGGAGACTGCGCGTGAATCCCTTCGTCTTGAGGTATCCTGCAATCGTCTTACGTCAGGCCAAAGGGGCACCATCCAACCCGTAGTCATTCACCAACAATCTGATGAGAGACCCCTTTTCAACCTTGATGCCCTCGCATGGCTCCACGTAGATCTCTCCCTGAGCACGGCCCATAGGGTCCGATTGGCAGAAGGCATTCTTCACGTCAGCAATGTCATCTAGGTGACCTAGATTCATCATCACCTGGATGAACATAAGGATGGAAGAAGTCTGGGGGGTGGGAGAGTAGACGAACAGCGTCCCGGTATCCGGATCCTTGTGTCCGTGGACGCACCGCCGAGACTTGGCGGTTGGTTCAGAAAACGTGCCCTCCACAGGTTTCCAACGTCGAACCATCCGACTCGCGATGATGCGGTCCGGTCGCTCTCGCCTAATCACCCCCGCCTCTCTGG